CATACAAACTAAAAAAGTGCTTAAAAGCCAATAAACACTTAAAATAAGTCAATCCAAACACCCTCTTGTCGTTTATCCTACGGTAATCTGGTCAATAGAATGGATTGGTTGATAGGTGAATGAGGTCATTGCTTATTAAAGAAAGAACAAAACAAAACGAAAAATACCGTTGGGTAACACAAAAACATCGGAGAAAATAAAGGAGAAAAGCAAAATAGGACAAGAAAGTCATTGAGGAATAGCCATGCATTGGACCTTTGACCAATCTTGATTTATATTTTTCTCTATCATAAAGTGACTATATTTTCAAGTTTGACCACAACATGTAATAAATGTCAGCACTGCAAATCTAACCGAAAGTCGGTTCATAACATTCTCTTGGGCCCCTGCTGCCAAGACAAGTTCAAAAGGACCTCAACATATTCAATATCTACTAGTATTCCTTTTCAAGTATAGAGTATTACTTATCGTGCTTTAGACGCCTAAACAAATATAATTAATAGTTTTAAATTTCAAGTGTATTTGTCTAATTTCCTATTCAGGCTAATGATGTCTGATTTTCAGTTAACCTCTTCATATATTAGAGGTATATTCAGAGTTTAAAGTGTATGAGTTTCTGTCGTAATCTCAAATTAATATATAATAATAACTAGATTCACAATTAGATATTTATAAATATTTAGTGAACTTTTAATAGAAATACAGGATCTATACAAAAGTTACTGAGTTTTCGAGAATCCATATACTATAATCTTGATCCGCCACTGTTCATATATATCTCATTGTTTTGATCTATTGTGGCTCACTAATAAGTCACTAGGATACAAGGTTAGCTTCCTCATATATCCAACATCTCTCAACAGTGGGTCCAACCCACTCAAGACCAAGGTTGCATTCCACTATTAGCCTGTTTGGCCAAGCTTTTTCTGGCAAAATATTTTGGGCAAAAGTGCTCGTTTTTAAAGTTAAGGTATTTGGCCAAACTTTTAGAAGGAAAAAATTTAAGTGATTTGAGTAAAAGCAGAAACTATTTTTGAGAAGTAAAAAAATATAGTTTCTCCCCAAAAGTATTTGAAAAACACTTTTGTGAAAAATACACTTAAAAGTACTTTTTAAAAGCTTGACCAAATATTAAATACTGCTCAAAAGTATTTTTTAAATTAATTAACCAAACATAAACTGTTTCTCACCAAAATACTTTTTTGATAAGCACTTTTGAGAAAAATACTTTTCAAAAGCTAATTTTAGAAGCTTGGCCAAACATGCTACCCCCTATGTTTCAAATTAGATGACACATTTCGCTTATCGAGAGTCAATTTGACTAAACTTTGAAGCTAAATTGGATAAGTTCAACTCAATATTTTAAAATTAAAATTTAGATATTTAAAAACATACGAAAAATGCTATAAGTTGCAATTTTTCTCATGTCAATATCATTAGAAAATACTTTTTAAAAATGTTGGTCAAATTTTACACGGTTTGACTCTCGATAAGCAAAATATGTCATCTAAATTGAAACGGGTGGAGTGTATGTTTTTCAGCCATTCTATTAGTGATAATTGTCTGCTTTGAGCTTAGACTTGCACGACTTTAAAATGTGCCACTGGGATTCGAGGATTGCTTCCTTATGCACTCAATATCTCTCGCGTTTTGCTGATTTAAATTAGCCTAGGATATTAAAGGTTCCACTATACTATCAATCCCTCTTAAATGGGTATAAAGAGAAATAGACTTAGGCTAGCTAGAAAAGGTGACTAATGTTGTGTCCACAATTTGGCCTATATTCAAGACCAAGCATGTTGCATGTTAGGTGTATACGTCATGTGAAATTAATGTTTCAATATTAATTGCTTAATTCATCAACATTCCAGCAGAGTTGCTTGCATATATTCATTTGTATTATGCAACAAATAGGAAATTATCCAAGCAATAAAACTCACCTTTAATCCGTAGGGTGATTGACAATACTCAAGTACGTAGTAAAACGCTTTGATTCGTACATTACTTGGACAAAATAAAAATAGTAACATGTATATTTTTTTGTTGATGGGTGATGATAAACTGCAAGTATAACTCTTTTTGTTGGGTCAAATATGTAAGGATATTTTATTGATGGGTGACAATAATTTTGAAATAATTTAATTGATATCTCACGTATGCAATAATGATGACAGAGCAAAAATTCGAGTGTGAACCATCATAGGAGAAAGAAATAAAATTGCTTAGTTCAACTGCACAATTTGGTAGTGGAACAACGTAACTACAATGCCACCAAGTTGCAATATCAAATTGCCTTTTCTCCTTCCATTTGAACACAAAATCAATATATAAATTTCAATTCCTTGGCCTCGTATAATCTGGTACGATTTATATTCATGCACGATCATATCCAGAAGTTTCCTCATCAACGTATGACAACGTGGTAATTACAAAGTAAAGGTAAAAGAATCACACTAGATTAAATCAAAGAACTGCCTGGGGGTAATTAATTTCATCTTATGTATGTAATTCTCTTTGCTAATTTAAAAACAACGTAACAGACTCAAATTTATGATAAAATCGACGCCGATAGACATTGAACTATTCATGGCTGAGAGCCTTCACAACCCAGATACAATGATACAATTATCAAAGGCACGCTCTACCACTTATCTAATTATGGCCCCTCATGCAAGCCTCCACTAGGGGCCGTCACACCAAAAGCAAGAAAAACCTCATCCCTCTCTTTTCTTTTTTCGCCCCCAGATACCAACATAGAAAAAGGGAAAAAAAAAAGTGTACATGCACCTGCTTGAACTAAATAGACGAACAAAGCACCATGTAACTTGAAATTTCACAAATAAATATGGGTGCATGTAACAATTTAAACTATATTTGGATGAAAGAATAAGAAAACCAAAAAAGAAAGTTGTTAAAAGTAACAACATAACTCTGAACATATTAGTTTCCCAAGAAAGTGATACATGCATTGCATCATATTTTGTAACAGAAGCAAATAGTTGTGTCATTGACTATAAATTAATTGATTGGTCTGTTTCCCTACTTTGGTTTTTACGTGCAAGCATACATGAACCAACACAAGGATTTTTCTATTTTTTTATTTCTTCACTCCTTGAAAACGAAATAATAAGATACGAACAGCAGAATAAGGTAACCTAGACATTGAACTAAGATGCAAAATATATTAATGCTCTTAGTAATCAATCATAACGTAAGGAAAGTTCTTGGTCTTTTAATTTCATTCATAGATGATAGAACAAACATAGAAAGATAAGAATAACTTGATCTCTCCATCATTCATGTGAAATGGACAATAACTAAAGGATTTCATTTGAAGTTCTATATACTAAAATTCTAATAATAAATCCCATATTTTCACCAGAATAATTGAGTTCTAACTCGAAACCACCTTATCAAATGCCAACTACTCATTCATGCAATATAGTTTTATGGATATTTTTCCACTTATTCTAAATCCTTTCTACATTTTCCAATAGAAAAGGTGATAATTAATTAAGAAACATAGTAGATAATTATAAGCCTAAGTCTATCCCTACCTAGATATAATCAACTTGTCACCACCTCAGCCTCCTGGAGATGAATTGATTCCATCGAGTAGCTAATGTTTCTATTGCATAATGCATCGTTAAGGATCCACAATAAAATCTCTAAAGTTATGTTACATCCATTTCATTTTATATGGTAGTATGTGATTAACTGGGTACAAATTCTTAAAAGTAAGAAAGAATTTTTTTTGATACATACTAAAGGTCTTTAGAGTTAAAGAGTTTTCAAATATCAAAGATGTTACGTATTATTTTTTCAAATAGACTAAAAAGGTAATCATATAACATGAACAGAGGAGTTATAATAAGAATTGTCTTTGAGTTATTAAATGTTATATCCAACATGTCCAATAGCATGGGCGGATTCACATAAGCAGTTATGAGTTCGGTAGAACTTAATAGTTTTGGCTTAAATGTTATATTTCTATTATAAGAAATCCACTTAATATGTATAAGAAATCTATTTCAAACCCGGTAAGCAAACAAAATTGTTGACTCAGAACCAGAGGGAGCCATGATTTAAAGTTTATGAATTCTCAATTACTTGCCATCGAACCTTAGCTCTCGATCATCTTACTAACCAGTTTCCCGACTAATATTTATGCATATATCATGAATTTTCTTATACAAATACAAGATATAAGAAAAAGTCACTATATCGTTTAAACCCGTACAATATACACTAACTCCGTCCCTGTTCAGAATTTATAAACTTAAAATCTTGGGTTTGCCTATGACAGTAGGGAAATAATAAAGAGTATTCATATAGCTAGTTGTATGAGATCTAAATTTCAAAAACTTTGGCAAAAAGATTGGGCAATCATTACAAGTATCTAGACAGCCTATCACCAGGAAAAAGGTGTAACAATATGTGAAATGCTCCAAGTCCAAAGTTTGACTTTCTATTTACGCGTATCACCAGCTATTCAAATGGTAATTAAGTTTATACAATGAACCGTTATATTGGATTCATCCAAGTAAATGAAACCTAAATCTACCATCGATGAAACAAAGAAAACTAGAATAGAAGGACAAACGAAGGACCATTGTATTGGAATTATGTGTCCCCTCTATTGCATGGAAATTTTAAAATTCAATAATTTATAAATATAAAAAATATATTATTCTTTTTAAGACGGACTAATAATAAAAGAATATCACATAAAATAAAACAAATGGAGCAACTATCATTTTTATTACTATCTTCCTCAAAAGAATTTAAGCATAAAATAAGTTGCTTTGCATACTAGGATATAACTAAGAAATGCAAGATAATAATTAAACCTCAAGAGCACATACAACAACAACAACAATGACCAAGTGAAATCTCACTAGTGGGGTCTGGGAAGGGTAGTGTGTATGCAGACCTTACCCCTACCCCAAAGGGTAAAGAGGCTGTTTTCGAAAGACCCTCCGCTCACGAGCACATAAAGATCAAGAAATAAGAAATTTTATAACTTGCAAAAGAAAAGAAGAGACATGAAATGCATGGAGCATTATGTTTGTTTTTCAGCACTACAATAAGAGTAAGTTCAAGACAAACCTCTGATCAAAGGGCTTCTTTTTTATCTTCTTTTAAACTTCCCCAGAACATGATCATCAGCAAAATTTAATCAAGAAACAGTTAGTCTAATTAGCTAGAGCTAGCTAATATTCCACTTCCTCTATACCCTAATAAGGTTACACGTTGTACCATGCTAATCTTGTCTGTATCGTTCCAATTTTATCGGATGCATGTCCTTGAAGGGATAAGGTTACATGTTGTGATCTTCTCTTCTAAGCTTGTTCAAAAGAGCTGTAATAAGTGCATCCCTTTTCTCAGCTCTAGCTTCTTCTCTAATCCTCCTTTGTTCTTCCCTTTCTCTCCATCTTCTTTCCATCATTAACCTCTCATTTTCTAATGCCTCCATTGTTTGTCTCCATTCCATTTCCTTTATTCTCCTCTCTTCTTCCTTTGCTTCATAAGCTTTTAACCATTGCATTTCCATTGCCATTTGTTGCTTCATGAAATCATCCAAAATCTCCTTAAAACTATTCACTAAATTCCCACTACCACCACTAGAACTACTACCAACAATGTTAACATTATTTCCCTTGACCTTTCTTTTCTTTTTTGTGATACCAACTACTTTTTCTCCTTCACTATCCTCATTTTCTTCCTCTTCATCAGAAGATAGCTGAGAAATAGTCTTCTTCTTCGACCCCCCGCCACCTTCTGCCTCTATCCACAGCATTCTCTGCATCCTAGCCGCGAAAATCGCTTGCAACTCGTTGTAAAATGGAAATTGTTGTCGTAAAGCTTCCGGTTCAAGCGTTTCACATCCCTATTAAAAAAATATAATGAAAAGGAAATGAAAGACATAACTATATATACTTCTATTGAAAAAGATGGTAACTTGGAAAGAAACTCAACAACCCTTAAAGAATTTGAAGTGTCTTCGTCAAGATTCAAGACGATAAAAATAAATATTTAATGCAGTATTAGTTACCAAGGCAGATCCAAAATTTAAATTAGACGACTTTAATCTTTGAGAGTTATCGCAAACATATCTTAAATACTGTATTTTCAAAATTATAAGTTCAGAATTAAATATAATACATATCTTAAATTTTTTGTTGTTTTAAACATACATATATTTATATTTCGTGTCTGAAATAGTGGGAAAGAAAAGCTGCATCCCCGATGCTAGCTAGTGACTTTCTCAGAAAGAAACCTAATAAACGAGTCTATTCTTTCATATATTTGATTATTTAAGATTAAAAGAGAAAAAACAGTACCTTATAGCGCGTAACGAGATTTTTCCACTTGCATTTACACTGTTCAGGGCTACGATTGTAACCTTTGTCTTTCATCTTTGTGGCTATGACTTCCCATAAAAGCTTGTTTCTTTTAGTTTCCATGAACGTTTGATCCAACTCGGCTCTAATCATCAAGAAATCTCTTGTTTCTTGAATACTCCATTGAGGAAATCTATCTCCACTAGTTGTACCAATATTAACCCCTCCACCACTTGTATCTACATTCACACTTTGATGACTAAATGGATTTTGTTGTTGTTGTTGCTGATGATGTTGATGTTGATGATGATGGTGATGAAGATGAGGATCCATATAATAATAACCCTAGGTTTATTATTTAAAAAGGGTATATATATGTTGGGTTGAACTTGAAGTTTTGAGAGATAGTTTTGGTTAAGAAAATGGAGAGGAAAAAGATTTGGGGAGAGAGAAGAAGAAAGGTTTTTATATGTAGGGAAAATGAAAGTGGGGATATATGGTGTGAAAATAAGGTGTGAAAATTGTCAAAGAAAAAGAATGAATATCTATGGCTTATGTGTCAAAAGCGAGCGTTGTATTTTTGAGTTCTTTCTCCATTAAGAATTTAGAAAGAAAAAAAAAATGTGAATCAAATCTTTCTTTTTTCCTTTCATTCTCTTTTTGTTATTGCATCCCTTATTCCTTCAAAGAAACAGTGTCTAGTGTCTCATCTCTCTACGCGTAAACTCACCTCTCCAAAAATAATTAGTATCTTTATAAAGTTGAAGAAATTATAATAATTTAGAATTGACATCCACATTTGTTCATATTGCGATGAAGTGACATCATGCTGGCGAAAGAAAACAGAAACCCTTTGGATGGGGCTTTGATTTTATATGACAAAGTTGTAGACTGGTCAGATGCTTGTTTTACAAGGTTCCCAAATTTAATTTCCTCTCTATTGCAGTCAAAATTATAGGATTTATGTGTTCTAAACTAATCAGCAAACTCATCTCATCTTAATTACTCCATCCGTTTCAATTTAGATGAGGTAGTTTGACTCAGAGTTTAAAAAAAAAAAAGACTTTGAAACTTGTGGTCTTACAAGCTTAAGGGGTAAAAGCTTTGTGGGGCCATCAGTGGCGGATCTATATGGTTCTTTGTGGGTGCTCAAGCACCCATTACAATCGATAGGATTTAATAAATCTGTATAGGCAATTATAAAAAGTATTTAGATAAATATTGAGTGAGCACCCATAACAAAACTCCTTTTTCCTCTTCTTTCAAAATTTTTATCGGTGAGCACTCACGACTTTAAAATTCTAAATCCGTCATTGGGGGTCATGACATTTGTGTGGTTATAAAAGCTTCTCATTAAGGATAAAATGAAGAGTTAAATGTTAAATTATTTCTAAATTTAAAAATATGTCATTTATTAGATATTTTTATATATTCAGTAATTTTAAACATAATCAACTGAATTCGTCGGAGCACGTCCTAATGATCTAGCTCCGCCCCTGTATTTGGCTAGTCATGTTACATTTGGCTTGTACTAAGAGAGAGAAAAGTACGTAGAAATGTAATTTGTTCATTAAAGAGTGGAAAAATACTTGACAGTATGCATTTTTGTATTCTTGCATCTTTGTAGTACATAATACGCGTTGTGTCACAGAGGGAACCGTGTTTTGGGTGTCGGAGAAGTCGGCATCAGGTCTTTTGGAATTTCTTACTATATAATGTGTAAATAATTCTATTATGGATTTAACTTTTATGCATTAATAATGTAAGATAAATTTATTATTATCACGAGTTATTAGTCTGCGAGACAATCATTATTTCATCCTGTATTTAATTAAATTTTTTATTTCGTGATTAGCTATACTACAATTGTGATATTAATTTTATACCACCTTCAATGTTGGTACCAAAATGACCTAGATGCCCTTCTTCGAAGACTTTATTCCTAAAGTCCTGTAAGAAGTGTAAGTCTAAAGTTGAAAATAAAAGTTTATCTATATTTATCTAATGTAAAACCAGATACCTAGTTTATATTATACATGTATATCCTATTTATTGGCATATGAATCAAACATTAATGAATAAAAGTATTCACTATACAATTTCATTATTATTTAATTCTCGTATTATAGTTCCGTCATTATAATTATAATTTAGGAAAAATAACACTGTATAGCCGCTCACAAAATAGGAGTTGGAAAATTTTTATTTTTTGTATATATATATATATACTTCTGTATATTATATACATAAATTATATAAATTTTATACATTTTTTCGACTACCGAATATAAATAATTTCTGGTGCGGCTAAAAGTGATAATACCCCTACAGTTTATCCACCAACCACATGACCCCCTTAATGTTTACCTATTATAGTATATTATATGTCTTATTATTCAGCTTATTAATCTAACTTCTTATGAACAATTAAGTATAATATTCTGTAATTAATGCACTAGAAAGGTCATAACCTTGTGGTCACCGGTTTAAATCATGGCTGCACAACATCTTGATTTGCTAAAATAATTTTGGTTTGACCATTTGACAAGCTACTAAGATTTAGGCCGACCTCTTTCTTTAGCGAAGCATCAAGTACATGTGTTTTTTATCAATTAATCAATTATGAAAATTCTCCCTGCAATTTTTGAAGAAAAAGGAATCTATCTATGTCAGTTAACATATCTCATCACTAGTCAAATGATAAATCCACCACCAGATTTTGAGATATGACAAGTTTTTTCTATTTCAATCTCGACCTTTTATAAACCTTCTTCGTCGAAAAATAACATTGCGTACATTTTACCTTTATTTAAGGAAATGCTGGTATATATATTGACCCCACTTAGCACAAAGGCATTGTTTAGTCCACTGGCAAAGTTGGAGTCCGGAACTTAAATAATAATTTTTTTGACACAAAGTACATTTTTGATGTTAAAAAAAAAAAGTTACATTAATAGGTAATTCGCAGTATAATAATGTGAATTGCTTTAACGGAAATTTAACCGTTAAAGCAATTCGCAGTATTATACTGCGAATTATTAAAAAAATATTTTTTTTACGCAATTCGCAGTATAATACTACGAATTGCTTAAAAATGAGCCCAGCTCTTTTTCAAAAGGCAATTCTCAGTATAATACTGAGAATTACCCTAATTCTCATTATAATACTGAGAATTGCCTTGATTTTACTGGTTTTTGGCCCAACCAATAATAATTAACTGACATAACATAATTCAAATACATAAAACGTAGTATTGTACTGCGAATTGTATTAAAAAATTGTACACCCCAAGTTCGGACTTGCCTTATTTATAGGCGTTTCAATTTTATGAAAATTCATTCAATACTTAACTTCAAACATACGTTCATACTTCTCTCTTCTCCTTATCAATCATTTTTTTACAATGTCTAAAGTGCAAAAAATAAGGGTTTCACTGTATTGGAGGTTTGGGGGAGGGGGGAGGGGGGGCGTGAGGTTGTGGTGGAGAATAACTCTGTGAGGTATAGCTCAGCTCCACAGTATTATGAGGCTCGGTAGCACCGACTTATCCTTAATTATTATGCGTGTCAATTTCAATATTTTTAGAATATTATTAGCTTAATGAATTAAATAATTAATTATGTTTAATATTGGACTGAATAATTAAGTATGAGTTACAGGCTTGATTTTTGAGGCCCGTTAGCACCGACTTATCCTTAATTATTATGCGTGTCAATTTCAATATTTTTAGAATATTATTAGATTAATGAATTAAATAATTAATTTTTGTAAAGTGTAATCTAAAAGGCTCTACTACGCTAAAAGGTTATATAAATATGAACAACAAACAAACAAAATAATATTAATTTTTTATTTAACCAAATAAAAACATAACATTTAAAATACAAATAATTTATCAACTTTTAACATTTTTTTTTTACCAAAATTAATAAATCAAGTCGTGTATAAATAAGATACAAGGTTGGGGGAGTTCTGTCGAGGAAGAAGAAGGGGCATTTTTTCAAAGGGTAATTCTCAGTATTATACTGAGAATTAGAGTTTCTCAGTATTATACTGAGAATTGCCTTTTGAAAAAGAGCTGGGCCCATTTTTAAGCAATTCGCAGTATTATACTGCGAATTGCGTAAAAAAAATATTTTTTTAATAATTCGCAGTATAATACTGCGAATTACCTATTAATGTAACTTTTTTTTAACATCAAAAATGTACTTTGTGTCAAAAAAAATCATTATTTAAGTTCCGGACTCGGCAAAGTTGGTTCAAGTTTTGTGGGATGTCCAGAGTTCGAACCCATCAGCTAAGCAAGGTCCCCACCCCCCTCTAGCACTTTTTCCCCTCTGATCTCTGGCATCATTTTTGTATGGGTCAAAATCCGACCCCACGATAATTAACGGAGTTTCTCGTCCTGAGCTAATACATAATTAATAAAGTGGTATGGCCACTTTATTCGTAACAGGACTCGACTCTTGTCCGATTTAATCTACGAGGGTGCGGCCCAGTCATTCTCCCATGGGGACGGAACTTCAGCATGGCCACGACCATTTATTGCCAGCTCACAAAGCTCACATCTATAAATACGAAGAGCAGTAGCCCTAGAAAAGGGGGGCTTCTTGACCACTAGTGAGAGGAGAGAGAAACGAGAAAATATACCCCTCTTATGGGAAGAGAAAAACACCATTGTAAGGCTCTGAACCTCTTCATGGAGAGGCAGACCAAACAAATATTATCAATAAAGGTTTCTAATGCTTCTCCCCCTAATTCTGAGTTCTTATTTTAGTTTCTTTCATTTGGTCCAACGGATTATTACGATTTGCTATGATTATCCCGGGATTAATTTATATTGTTTAGTACTCGTAAGATGTGTAACATTTTTTGAGCAAACAATTTTAATAATTTATTTTGTTGACACTTCTGTATATTTAGTTTTTTGTATTTGAACTCTCTTGTTAAAAATTCTGGGTCAGCTACTGCTTTGAGTCGTGTTTAACTACAATGAAATCGTTTGAATTTTTAAGAACTTGAGATGAAATATTCGTATGTGGATTTTGAATTATGTTATTTGAAAAAAAAAATGCACTTGACATATACACGGTAATGTATTTTTCCTTGTTATGTAGATCGTCCGATTACAAGGTGGAAACTCTATACAAATTAAAATAAATTTTAAGTACCAGTTAAGATCCACCTTAAAGCAAGTTAAGAGAAAAGTGAAAAGCAAATTCATTTCGTTTATTCTGTCGGCTTTTTTTAATGAACGTATATGTACTAGAGTGATGGAGTGATAACTGACAAGTATTCTTTGATTTTTAATCAGATTTTTTCAATTCGAGCACTGTATGAAACCATTATTATTAGCGAGCATTTTACCTTCAATACGAGACTTCTCAATGCAAATTCAAATTTAATCAAGTCTCAATGCTAATATCGAACACCTGATTAAAAACCAAAAAAGTATATGTACCTAGAGCTAGAAACAGCCAGCGTATATGCAATTAGCAGACCATACGAATTGTGTTTACGAAAAGAGGAAACTTTTGTTGTTCCACTATATATCTTGTATAACTTATTCTTGTAA